ATACAGCATTTGGTTCTCAGCCCGTGTTCTGTCAGGCTTCCGGAGATGGGAAAGCAATGCATAAAAATTCTCAGGCACAGCAGTGAACTCTCTGGAGCTCTGGACCGGAATTTACAGTCGCCTGTAGACATCTCCATCTGTAAGCCCTACAGTCAACGCCAACTCACCACGTCCCTCGCCCAATTCATTACCTTCCCGCACGCCTGAACCCCTCCATAGGAGTCTAGCTAGGCTAGTACCACTGCCAACCCTCCGTACAGAATCTAGACATTTCAATTCCTTTCTTTCTTGGCCACACTCCCTAAGTCAATTCTATGTCAATGTTTGTGGCTCCAATCGGTTCGAATGTTCTATCAATTCTGTTTAATGACTGGGAAGGTGTAATTTGAAATCAGTTACTCTACTAACACAAAGATGGTGACTTTGTGAAAGTTCGAATCCACCAGCGACTCCAAGGGAGAAAGAGAGGCAATCTCCTCCCACCTGAATTACAGCCTCTTGAAAACTCCCTGAAGAGACACCTGTGGGTTAGTTTGGACTTGAATGACAATGAGTTGTGTTGTGTTTCTTCCATCCTCTCCAGGTAGGTCCATGGCAATCGCCATCTAGCAAGTCCCACCTGTATTCTACAACTCTAGAATGTTCCATTAACCTAGGCTACCCTCGTAATGATGCCCTACTCTTGAGAGCTGGGTGATTAGTATACTCATCCCTCCGTTTCCAAGTTTTCACTTGTCCAATCTCATTAATTTTCTGAAACACAACTGTTATTTTTTTCTAAACGGTTTCGGGGACATATTGACCCTTACTCATTATCTCACAGCTGACAAATTCTACCCATTTTCTTTTCTCTAGTATCCTTTTAATCATTCTCCCATCTATCTGTTGTTGTTGTTGTTATGTGCCGTCAAGTCGTTTGCGACTCATAGCGACCCTATGTACAACAGCCCTAAACCCTGCTCTATCTTGTGCCACTCTCATTGCCTCTGACACACCCATCC